GGAGGGGGGAGCGGGGGGGGGGGAGTATTGAGAGACAAAAATGGACTTATTCTAGAATACCAAAGAAAGAGACAAGACAACCAAACACAAGGAGTGATCTGATTGGCTCCTAGACTAGGAGAACAACAGCAACCACTAAGCTAGGACACTAGGGAGACAGCTGGTGACACTAACAAAGGTGCTGCAGATGAGAAAACACTATTATAGAAATGATAAAACCATTCATGGTGGTGCATGTCTGTAATCCCTTAATTGGAAGGCTGAGGCAGGAGGATTACAGCAAATTCAAGGCCAGCCGGGGCTACATAGCAAGACCCTGTCTTATAAAAATGATAAATTTCTAGATTTTGTTTCATTTTGTTTTTGAGACAGGTGTAGTTCAGACTGGCCTTGAATTCACTATGCAGCACACCAGCCTTGAATTTACTCCAATCCTCCTGCCTCAGCCTACTGATATTGGGACAACAGGTATTTGTCACCTCCCTAGTGCGTACAAGTTGAATCTTTATCGCATGGTTTCTTCCTTGGGTTTGTGTTTTGTTTTGTTTTCCTGTGCTGGGTATTGAACTCAGTGCTTCGCGTTTTCACTTGCTTTTAGTCGAAAGGCCAAGAAGCGATGATCTTCAAGTTTTCAAGACAAGCACTCTATCACTAAGCTATATCCCCCAGTCCTACATCGAGCTTTTGATCAATGTTCTTGTTCTTAGGAATTATGCACTTTGAGCTGGGGGAAACAGGCCACAATGTACACAATTTCCTTTCAAATGTTTAAAAAAAAAATGCCACCTGTGCCTGTGTAGGAGCTGTGAAGGCACAGGGGAGAAGGTAGGCGAGTGCCAGGACCACAGAGCAAATCTGGTCAAATGTTAAAACCTGGTGAACTTGGATGCAAGGTTTACAGGAGCCCTTTGTACTACTGTTGCAACTTTTTTATGTTTGACATTATTTAAAATAAAGTTACAAAACAAGATACATCTCTGTGATAATTAAAATTCAAGAATCTTACATTCTTGCCTAAAGATAAAAAGGAAACATGAGAAAAAGAACACAGTCTGACTTGAAGGGGACGTTTTCTTCTCATTAAGAATGCCTTGGGCTTGGGATGTTGCTCAGAGATGTAGCTCTTGCCTAGAGCAGGCAGTTTTGAGTTCAATCCCCAGCCCACCAAAATAAAAATTGAACATAAAATAAAATGTACCAGTGTCAATCTTGTTCCTCAAGACACAAAAAATTTCAAAAACATCTAAGTAACTACAAGGGAAAAAGTAATTACTCATCCAAACGGAAGATTCCAGAGCCAGAAAATACAGGATCAAGTAACTGCAGGCATCACCTGCTGCCCAAGGGTGGATACAATGGTGACTTCTGTGCTGGCGTTAGAACTCAGGCCTCGTCACTTGCTAGGCGAGTGTTTTGAACTTTTTTTTTTTAAGATGGGGTTTGGCTATGTTGCCCAGGTTGGTCTCAAATTCATGGGCTCAAGTGGCCCTCAGCCTCCCAAGTAGCTGGGGCCACAGGAGCACTCGCAAGGATTCTAGACACAAGTGCTTTGTAGGACCCTGGCTGATCTGCTGGCTTCTTGGAACACATACCTTTATCGTGAGATCATTGGTCATGTTCTCATTGATGATGGTGGCAGTTCCCAAGCTGGAGTTAGAAATCTTGGAGGCTGTTGTGTTCATTGGCTTTACAGGTTGAAGTCTAAAAAAAAGGGGAAGAGGATCCTTAAGGCTTCCTGTAACCACAAAACTCAGAAACAGCCTTTCTCAACTAAGGCAGCTTGCAGAAGGCAAGTGGGGGAGGCAACATGCTCTGTTCACATCTCCAGCCCAACACACACCACAAGGAAATCAGTGCCTGCAGAACCGAAAGCAGACAGAAACAGGCAGCATCTGCAAACAGCAAAGCACAGCCTATGAGTCCCTCAGCCTTGTCATGAATATTAGCAGAACGTGAAAGACTATCGGTCTCTAAGGGCTGGGGGTAAAGCTCAGTGGTAGAGCACTCGCCTAGCATGTGTAAGACCCTGGGTTTGATCTCCAGCACTACAAGAATGAGAAAGAAAGACAATCTGTTACTCCTGGAGGTAAGTACAGCCAAGGACTCCACCAAGGAACTCTGCAGAGCCACCTGTGCCTGAGCAGTAAAGAAAGAGCTCAGAAGAAACAGGCCAGACGCTTATCCAGCAGGACTTAAACAAAGTTGCAGCACCACTTGATTCTACTGCTTAATCTCGGTTAGTTCCTCAGACTAAGACACTGTTCACACTAAGTTTCTACAACTAGAGGAATCCAAAGCTGACTGTAGCCCAACTCCTAAGCTGTCTCTGAAGACAACAACTATGTTCCTACTACCAACACAATGGGGTCTGATGATCTCACCCCAAGAGGGACAACAGCCCTGCAGTACAACAGGCAGGTTCTAACCTCAGGGCCTCCATGTGCTTCAAAAGCCATAACCTCTGTAGGCAGAAGCAAAGAGGGGACATCACTCCCATCCACAAGGACACGCGCCCCCGTCTCTCACCTGTGCTTCGCTGCCCCAGTTCCAGTGCCTGGCTGAGCTGAGACTGGATGTGTCTCTGAGGGCGTGACCCAGGCCTGAAGAAGCGGCTTCCTCTTGCCAAAATTTTCAACTTTCCCAGTGGAGCCCTCTGCTGTTGCTTTTTTTGGAGATTCTGCTCTACTGGTGTGGTGGGTGTCAGTTTGTGGAGAGACAGGGAAAGAGTACACGGCAGGAAAGGTCTCAGAAAGGGAGGGACTGGGCACAGGAGAGTGAGGGGACAGGCTGGGAGTGTGACCCAGCCTCCCATCTGCCTTGGGCTTCTCCTCATCACTGCCAGAGCCTGGCAGCTGTTCATCACCACTCATGCTCTTGCCAGGATGCAGTTTATCAATTCCTACAGCTGCCTTCTGCACAGGAGCTGAAGGCGCCTGAAACCCGAAGTCATGGGGATTCTGCACAGGTGCTGCCCTCTCTGCCCCGCTGCCCGGCCCCTCTGCCTGCTCAGGATGGGGAGGCCACGAGCCCCAGGATAAAGTGCCTGCTGTCTTCCCCTCCTCCTCCATGTGATCTACTCTTTCATCATCGGATGCCACCTCAGGGATGGACGGAAGGGTCAAGTTCCGATCAGCCATGATGGGAGGTGTCACCTCTGAGGCAGAGGGAAGGCCACTCAGGGGATCAGACAGCGAGCCTTCGTGATCACTGGCCTTGCTCTGGTGCTGAGCTGTGAGGGTATCAACATCCTCGATTTTGAAGAGTTGGGTGTGCTTTGCCAAGCTCACTTTACTCAGGAGGGCTTCTAAGGAACTCTCCGCACAAGAGGGGACCATAGAGCCGCCTTCTGTGGGAGCCGGCACAGTGACAGGTCCCCTCTCTGTGTCTCCCGTGTGGGGACAGCCAGGAGGCTCTGCACCAGATGCGCTTTCTGCAGTGGCTCCTTCAAGAGTCAGCTCCTGAGGGTGATTTCTGTCCTCTTCCCACAGCCCGGTGGGTTTCTCCACCTCTTCCGTAAAGAGCTGCTCAGAAAATGACACACACTTCTTGCCTTTCTTTTGGTCCTCACTGCCATTCAGGCTCATCTCTTCCTCTTTCTGCATCTCAGCATCTGGTGGGGGGACCGGTTCGCCTGCTGGGAGAGGCACTGCTACTTCTTTGATTGTGGAGGACGTTCTGCCACCCCCAACTCTGTTCTCTACAGCAGGCCCAGGCTGACTCTTCAGCTCTGTATGTCCCATGGTGGGCAGCTTCCCAGTGGGGCCTGCAATTCTGCCACCATCCAGTGAAAGGGCAGATGGTACCTCAGGAGTCTCTTCTGAGGGGGTGCAGCCTTGTTTTGGGGAGGGACTCCTTGGAAGTGCTTCTTCTTGCTGCCCCACCTCAGGCTGCTGCTGGAGAGAGCTTCCTGGCTCCATCTGGCCAGCATTCTTCCCTGAGCCTCCCTCACTGGCCTTTTCCCTCGCAGGACTTCCTATCCCTGTCCATGCTGGCATTGGGGGCTCTTTGAAAAGCACTCCCAGGGCAGAAGAACCAGTGTTCGGGACTGGTGTTAAATTCTCCTTTTGCAGGTCTGCTTGAAGGAGCAAAGCCAACTCTTCAGAACTGACCTGGTCCCGGCCTGAGGAGGGCCAGGGTCCAATTGGGGTGGATGTGGAAATGGGAGCTACTATGGGAGATGGGAAAGAGGAAAAGACAGAAGGACTTTCAGAAGACTGGGACACTGAACCACGCCCTGATTCAGAAGGGGCACAGGCCTGGCCAGAACTGTAAGCAAGAGCAGAAAAAAAGGGAGAAGAGTCAGGGGAGGACAGAAGCCTAGCTTTGGGTTGAGCCTCTGAAGACACTTCCAGTCTGCAAAAACGACAAAATAAAATCTGCAGGTCAGTTGCAGATGCATCATGAGAGACAAACACATAAAAAAATGAAGTCATCCAAGGGGGAGAATGTTTTAAAATCTGGGACAGTATCTTAAAAAGCTAAAGGAACACCAGTCCTTAGACAACAGGGGACACTTTGGAAGGGAGGTGCTGGGGACTGAACCCAGGGCCTTGCACATTTTAAGCACATAATCTACCCCTAAGCTACACCCCCAGCTCCTAAAAGGGACACTTGCATCACCAAACACACCTACCACTCAACAGCCTGTTGCAAGAGGAACAGGGAGATCCAGGGAAAGCAACAGCCGACAGTTCCTTTTGGTGACTGACACAAAACCCTAGCACTTGATTTGCAGGGCACAAAGCACCTAAAAGTTCAAAGTAGTACAAGACATAATGCAAGGAAACAGGCATAGATTTTAAAGAAACAGGGTGTCTGTGTGTGTTTATACACATGATCAAAGTAATAGAATCTCCAAAATAATCCCTCACCCCCAGGTCACAGAAATACTGTTAGTATGAATCTGAGTCATGCAGAAAAGCACAAGTCCTCCAGGCTCAGGCGGACTCACAAGCAGGCAGAGAAAACATACAGACAAGTGCCACAGGCAACTGGGTGTGGACCTGGGTCTCCTTTGCCAGCAGGTGCCAAGTTGAGAGGAAGAGAGATAGCGTTTTCCTCAAAAGGAAACGAGCACAAGAACGCAAAAATCACAGTTCTACACACGTCACAACCCCAGCCCTATTCCCAACTCGATGCTCAGACTCTGCCACAAACATGTTTCACTGGGGTCTGATTGGCTCGGTGAGAAAGCCAAAGCCAGGCAGAGGGATGGGGCTGAAGACATCACTGCCCTTTCTGCAGGGCAGGCCAACAGGTGGCAGGGATGAGACTAAAACAGGTGACTCAGCCCAGCACACCTCTGGCACATGTGGCACCATCGTGGGACAAGCCATAGCAAGGGGAGGCAGGGCTTGCGTGACAAGGGCCAGGACTCACCGAGGCTTGACAGCTTTGGTCTGGGGAGGCCTCGCAGAGGGAACAGGTGGCTTTGGTTCGTACTTGGGCTCAGGTCCAGCTTCCGGTTCTGAGATCTGCACGTCTTCAAAGGGGTTCAAAGCATGCCCCCATCTGGAGGTGTCAGCCACAGCATCTTTCTCAGACCCGCTCATGAGGGCATCCTCCTTTGGCGGAGCTTCTGAAATCACGCCTTCCTTCTCCGTCCCTAGGACAGCAGCGGTACGCTCACCTTCACTGCCCTTTGCCACATCCTTCTTTCCCGTCACCAGAAAAAGCAAGGAAGACCTCTTTCCCTCCTGCTTCTTGCTGTCCTTGGTTTCTTTCGCAGCCTCCAAGTTCGCTGGCGTTGTGCCTTCCCTAGTGTCGCCACTGGCCAGGGGTCGGTAAGACGGCAGGGACATGGACTTCAGAGAGTCCTTGGTGGAGGTGTCAGAAGACAGGCCACCTCCCTCCGGATCCTTCCAAGCCCTGACGGCCAGGTTTTCGGTGGAGGAGAAGGAATGCTTCTTCCTGAAGCCCTGGGGTGACGGGGATGAGGCAGGGCTGCTGTCCTTGGTCTCACTCCGGACCTCAGGCTGCTCCACGTAAACATGGTTCCCGTTGATACAGACGTTAGAGCGGGAAAGGGTGTCGTTCTTGGACCGAAGAGCCCCAAGAAAGGAGAGCCCTTCCTTTTTGGGAAGGCTGAAGCTGATCTGGCTCAGCTGCTTAGGGTCTGCACTCGCTGTTCTCTTGTGGGACATGACTAGGAAGAAAAAGTAAGAACACAAAGAGATGCGTTACACTCATAGGTGGTGGTGTGGCTCCGTGGCAGAGCACTTGCCTAGCATTCATGAAACCCTGGGTTCCCTCCCTAGAACCAGAAAGGGAAGGAGAGAAAGAAAGAAAAGGGAAGGAAGGAAAAAGGGAAGAAAGAGAAGGAGAGAGAACATACGGTTTTCAGTGTGGGGGCAGGGTCATTTGTCACCAATCTGGACATGCTTTTGTTTGTACCAACTGAGGAGAGGGGTGCTGTTGGCCCCTATCAAGTACAGCTCAGGGGTGCAGCTAAACACCCTGCAATGTACAAGACAGTCCCCACAACAAGGAGCTGTCTGGCCCAGTGGTCAGCAGTGCTGAGGCTGAGAAATCCTGTGTTAAACCCAAAAAAGGCAGCACTCTTGGGAGAGTAACAGCAATCTGAGACTAAGAGATCAGAATCTGATCATTGAAACTGAAGTTCGAGCTGGGGTGGTGCACACCTGTTATCCCAGCATTTGGGAGGCTGAGGTAGAAGGATCATAAGTTCGAGTCCTACCTGGGCAACTTTACTTTAGTTAAGACTCTAAAAAATTAAAACAAAGGGTTAGGGATATAGCTCAGTATGAAGGCTCTGGGGTCACTCCTCAGTATCACATACAAATATACATACGCACACACACACAAATAAAAAAAAAGAACAAAATTCAGAATACACAATGAATTCAGAGTTAAGAAAACTGGGCTCCCTAGCTTCCATTAGGGGCCTATTCCATGAGGGTGAGGCATACCATTGAAGACCAATAAACTGTTTGAATTCATAACTAATGAAGTACCAGGACTACAAGGTGCTGTGGTTTTATCTGACAGAGAGAGTGAGAGAGAGGAGAAACATGATGCACTCATTCTTTTAGCTCCAGTCCTTGTACTAATGCACCTCAGTCCCACGGCCAGACATCTCAGAAAAGGCATCTCAGACATGCAAGGGATCACAGACAGAATAGGCATCCAAGCCAAGATCACCTCTGCCCACCAGCACCACCGCCACTGCTGTGCAGGTAAAACCTCTCTCTAAAGCCCTGTCTGTTCTCTCTCACTCAAAGCAAGGTAGGGTAAACTGAGGAAGAGCAGCCAAGTGAAGAGGAAGCAGTCACTCACTGTCTGAGGCAGAGGACGAGGACTCATCCTCCTGGTCATCGTTCTCCCACTGTGACCGGAAGTCTCCAGGCCGGAGCACCACTCTGTCTGGCTTTGAAGTCGGCAGGACAGACATGGACTGAGAAAGTGGTGTTTTCTGCAAATTGGACTTGGAAAACAAGGTCTTGACCTTAGATTTCTTTTTCTTGTCTTTTGAGAAAGACTCGTCGTCACTGTCAGCTGAGGGTGTTGAGCTGGGGATGATGGCAGATGCAGTGTCTGCCACGCTGTCCTTGTTCTTTCCCTTGATCTTGTCCTTCAGTTTTCCAAACGGATTGCGGGACTTGTCCTTCACAGACAGGTCGAACATGCTAGCTGTCATGTTGTTTCGCATGAACTGGATATCAACCTCAATTTCTCCTCGCTGTTTTTCCTTCTTTCCTGGCTTGGACTTCAAGGTGTACCACCTGAAAAGAGAGGCCAACTGTTATCTCAGGGTTCTCGAGCCCTGCCGACTGGCTGCCCTCTCTGCTGCTCAGACAGGTGCAATTCTGGCTTCCTCCTGGGGGAGTAGCAGGGGGATGGGGATGAGGGCAGAACTTGTCTGTCTGTTCAGCCATCCGTCCATCTGTCCGTCCATCCATCCATCCATCCATCCATCAGTTGTATGGGAAATTGAATGTATTTTTATTTATGAGATTGTTTTCCCTATGCACAAAATAAAGAAAGAATCTGATGTACTTAGTGCATAATCTCTCTCTCTCTTTTTTTGCAGTTTTGGAGGTTGAACCCAGGGCTTCAATCATGCTACCCAAAGTACGCTACTACTGAGCTACACCCTCTGCCTTTATAATCATCTAAAATCCTGACCCAAGCTGGATGTAGTAGTGCCCACCTGTAATCCCAGCACTTTGGGAGGCCAAAGCAGGATATCTGCAAGTCTGAGACCAGCCTGAGCAATTGAGCGACTTACTGAGACCCTATCTCAAAAAAATTAAAAAAGGACTGGGGATGTAGGTCAGTGTGAAGACACTGGGTTTACTGGAGTATTTTTCCAGTAAAATATTTCTAAAAATCTTGATCCTATGAAGAGCTGTTTCTAAAAGTAAACAACTGGGAGCTAGGTGTGGTGGTGCATGCTTGTAGTTCCACCTATTTTAGAATAATTCACACCCAGAAGTTTGAAACAAGCCTAGGCAACATAATGAGGCCTTGTCTCTAAAAAAGTAAGTAAATATTTGTTGTTGTTGTTTTTCCTGGTCGTTCATTCTTTCTTTCTT